CTGATGGTCTTCACTTTCAGCGCTGGGAAGCCTCCACAACATCCTTGAAGGTGTAGAAACCCTTGGCGGCAGCCACTGCATCCAATGGGTTCACCTTCGAAAACAAGTTGTTGGGGACGCTGGAATCAACCACGCCAGCCATGGAATTATACACATCCATCACAGTTGTCTTCGGCACGGATGCCACCAAGCGGCCAATGGCTGCATTCACAGCTTCGTAGTCGGCCGCAGACGTCACACCAGTGGCATCAATGCTGCCAATGGCCTTGTGGTGTGCCTCTGCTGCTGCCTTCAAGAGGTTTCCATCCATCTTCGCACCCATCACGATCATCTTGTCAATGGCTTTCAGCGTCTCTGGGGCAGTCTTGCCGGGAAGCGGCTTCAAGTAAATGTCTGACAGCCAATCAATGTCCTTGATGAAAGGGTAGGATGCATCGGACAAGGCTTTTGCAGCTTCACCAATTTTGTCTCCAGAAGGCACAACTGCAGGAGCACTGGCCGTGGCCACCTGGTTCTTTTCAACAACATCCTTGAATTCCAGGAATCCTTGGTAGGCCTTCTCGGCATCGGGTCCGTTCACCAAGGACTTCATGTACGCTGGCACTCCGGGGTCCGTGATGGCTTTCACTGAATCGTAAACGGCCATGACCTTTGCTTTGGGGACCGAAGCGACAACACGGCCAATGGCTGCATTCACCGCATCCCAGTCAGCGCGCGAAGTCACACCATTTGGCCCACTGATGCTCCCAATGGCCTTGTGATGTGCTTCTGCTGCGTCCTTCAGAAGCTTGGGATCTGCGGCTGCCCCCATTTCGATCATCTTGTCAATGGCTTTCAAAGCTTCCAAGGGCTGAAACTTGCCAGGGGCCTGCAGGAAAATGCCATTGTTCCAGTCTACTTCCTTGGCAAAAGAGTAGGAAGCATCCCCAAGCTTCTTTGCAGCATCGCCGATCTCATCAGCAAAAGCCGCAGGAGCCATCATCATGCTGGCTGCTGCTGCGGCCACTGGAGCAGCATGCCGAGGCCCAGGCACAAAAGTCAAGTGCCGCTGGAGACAGCATGCAGCAGCCACCGCAACTCCGACAGCAATAGCTTTCCTTGCTCCACGCACCATGGCCACCAAAGTTCAAAAGTCTTTAAGTGGGCCGGAGTTGGTCAAAAATTAGCCTCTAAAACTGGCTTGAGCCAAGTAAGTTGCATGATATTCCCATTTAGAGGGAAAAAACGTGTCTTCAAATCCCCAAAAGCAGCGGAATCAGTCCCCAAAGCTGTTCGTGGGATTAGAATTGTGTATCTGTCCATGAAGACACGGAGCATGCTAAGTCATCAGATGTACGCCCGGCAAGTGTGTTTTTTCATTTGCTCCAGAGGTTCCCGCCTCGTCAAGAAACTAGTACAGATGTCTGTAACTATTGACTATACATGTATAAAAAGTGTTCTGTTAAAGCATATTGAAGCAACGTTGAATCTTCAAGATTCATGCTGATGGTCTTTACCTTCAGCGCTGGGAAGCCTCAACAACATCTTTGAAGGTGTAGAAACCCTTGGCAGCAGCCACTGCATCCAATGGATTCACCTTTGAAAACATGTTGTTGGGGACGCTGGAATCAACGACCTTGGCCATCGAATTGTACACATCCATCACAGTGGACTTGGGCACGGATGCCACCAAGCGCCCAATGGCTGCATTCACAGCTTCGTAGTCGGCCGCGGACGTCACGCCGGTGGCATCAATACTGCCAATGGCCTTGTGGTGTGCCTCTGCTGCTGCCTTCAAGAGGTTGCCATCCATCTTGGCACCCATCACGATCATCTTGTCAATGGCTTGCAGCGTCTCTGGGGCAGTCTTGCCGGGCAGGGGCTTCAGGTAAACGTCCGACAGCCAATCGATGTCCTTGATGAAAGGATAGGATGCATCGGACAACGCTTTTGCAGCTTCACCAATTTTGTCTCCGGAAGGCACAACTGCAGGAGCACTGGCAGTGGCCACCTGGTTCTTTTCAACAACATCCTTGAATTCCAGGAATCCTTGGTAGGCCTTCTCGGCATCGGGTCCGTTCACCAAGGACTTCATGTAAGCTGGCACTCCGGGGTCCGTGATGGCTTTCACTGAATCATAAACAGCCATGACCTTTGCTTTGGGGACTGAAGCGATTACACGGCCAAGGGCTGCATTCACGGCATCCCAGTCAGCGCGCGAAGTCACACCATTTGGCCCGCTGATGCTCCCAATGGCCTTGTGATGTGCTTCTGCTGCCTCCTTCAGAAGCTTTGGATCTGCGGCTGCCCCCATTTCGATCATCTTGTCAATGGCTTTCAAAGCTTCCAGGGGCTGAAACTTGCCAGGGGCCTGCAGGAAAATGCCATTGTTCCAGTCCACTTCCTTGGCAAAAGAGTAGGAAGCATCCCCAAGCTTCTTTGCAGCATCGCCGATCTCATCAGCAAAAGCCGCAGGAGCCATCATCATGCTGGCTGCTGCTGCGGCCACTGGAGCAGCATGCCGAGGCCCAGGCACAAAAGTCAAGTGCCGCTGGAGACAGCATGCAGCAGCTACCGCAACTCCGACAGCAATAGCTTCCCTTGCTCCACGCACCATGGCCACCAAAGTTCAAAAGTCTTTAAGTGGGCCGGAGTTGGTCAAAAATTAGCCTCTAAAACTGGCTTGAGCCAAGTAAGTTGCATGATATTCCCATTTAGACGGAAAAAAGCATGTCTTCAAATCCCCAAAAGCACCGGAATCAGTCCCCAAAGCTGTTCGTGGGATTAGAATTGTGTATCTGTCCATGAAGACACGGAGCATGCTAAGTCATCAGATGTACGCCCGGCAAGTGTGTTTTTTCATTTGCTCCAGAGGTTCCCGCCTCGTCAAGAAACTAGTACAGATGTCTGTAACTATTGACTATACATTTATAAAAAGTGTTCTGTTAAAGCATATTGAAGCAACGTCGAATCTTCACGGTTCATGCTGATGGTCTTTACCTTCAGCGCTGGGAAGCCTCAACAACATCTTTGAAGGTGTAGAAACCCTTGGCAGCAGCCACTGCATCCAATGGATTCACCTTTGAAAACATGTTGTTGGGGACGCTGGAATCAACGACCTTGGCCATCGAATTGTACACATCCATCACAGTGGACTTGGGCACGGATGCCACCAAGCGCCCAATGGCTGCATTCACAGCTTCGTAGTCGGCCGCGGACGTCACGCCGGTGGCATCAATACTGCCAATGGCCTTGTGGTGTGCCTCTGCTGCTGCCTTCAAGAGGTTGCCATCCATCTTGGCACCCATCACGATCATCTTGTCAATGGCTTGCAGCGTCTCTGGGGCAGTCTTGCCGGGCAGGGGCTTCAGGTAAACGTCCGACAGCCAATCGATGTCCTTGATGAAAGGATAGGATGCATCGGACAACGCTTTTGCAGCTTCACCAATTTTGTCTCCGGAAGGCACAACTGCAGGAGCACTTGCAGTAGCCACCTGGTTCTTTTCAACAACATCCTTGAATTCCAGGAATCCTTGGTAGGCCTTCTCGGCATCGGGTCCGTTCACCAAGGACTTCATGTAAGCTGGCACTCCGGGGTCCGTGATGGCTTTCACTGAATCATAAACAGCCATGACCTTTGCTTTGGGGACTGAAGCGATTACACGGCCAAGGGCTGCATTCACGGCATCCCAGTCAGCGCGCGAAGTCACACCATTTGGCCCGCTGATGCTCCCGATGGCCTTGTGATGTGCTTCTGCTGCCTCCTTCAGAAGCTTTGGATCTGCGGCTGCCCCCATTTCGATCATCTTGTCAATGGCTTTCAAAGCTTCCAGGGGCTGAAACTTGCCAGGGGCCTGCAGGAAAATGCCATTGTTCCAGTCCACTTCCTTGGCAAAAGAGTAGGAAGCATCCCCAAGCTTCTTTGCAGCATCGCCGATCTCATCAGCAAAAGCCGCAGGAGCCATCATCATGCTGGCTGCTGCTGCGGCCACTGGAGCAGCATGCCGAGGCCCAGGCACAAAAGTCAAGTGCCGCTGGAGACAGCATGCAGCAGCTACCGCAACTCCGACAGCAATAGTTTTCCTTGCTCCACGCACCATGGCCACCAAAGTTCAAAGGTCTTTAAGTGGGCCGGAGTTGGTCAAAAATTAGCCTCTAAAACTGGCTTGAGCCAAAGTAAGTTGCATGATATTCCCATTTAGAGGGAAAAAAACATGTCTTCAAATCCCCAAAAGCAGCGGAATCAGTCCCCAAAGCTGTTCGTGGGATTAGAATTGTGTATCTGTCCATGAAGACACGGAGCATGCTAAGTCATCAGATGTACGCCCGGCAAGTGTGTTTTTTCATTTGCTCCAGAGGTTCCCGCCTCGTCAAGAAACTAGTACAGATGTCTGTAACTATTGACTATACATTTATAAAAAGTGTTCTGTTAAAGCATATTGAAGCAATGTCGAATCTTCAAGATTCATGCTGATGGTCTTTACCTTCAGCGCTGGGAAGCCTCAACAACATCTTTGAAGGTGTAGAAACCCTTGGCAGCAGCCACTGCATCCAATGGATTCACCTTTGAAAACATGTTGTTGGGGACGCTGGAATCAACGACCTTGGCCATCGAATTGTACACATCCATCACAGTGGACTTGGGCACGGATGCCACCAAGCGCCCAATGGCTGCATTCACAGCTTCGTAGTCGGCCGCGGACGTCACGCCGGTGGCATCAATACTGCCAATGGCCTTGTGGTGTGCCTCTGCTGCTGCCTTCAAGAGGTTGCCATCCATCTTGGCACCCATCACAATCATCTTGTCAATGGCTTGCAGCGTCTCTGGGGCAGTCTTGCCGGGCAGGGGCTTCAGGTAAACGTCCGACAGCCAATCGATGTCCTTGATGAAAGGATAGGATGCATCGGACAACGCTTTTGCAGCTTCACCAATTTTGTCTCCGGAAGGCACAACTGCAGGAGCACTTGCAGTAGCCACCTGGTTCTTTTCAACAACATCCTTGAATTCCAGGAATCCTTGGTAGGCCTTCTCGGCATCGGGTCCGTTCACCAAGGACTTCATGTAAGCTGGCACTCCGGGGTCCGTGATGGCTTTCACTGAATCGTAAACAGCCATGACCTTTGCTTTGGGGACTGAAGCGATTACACGGCCAAGGGCTGCATTCACGGCATCCCAGTCAGCGCGCGATGTCACACCATTTGGCCCGCTGATGCTCCCGATGGCCTTGTGATGTGCTTCTGCTGCCTCCTTCAGAAGCTTTGGATCTGCGGCTGCCCCCATTTCGATCATCTTGTCAATGGCTTTCAAAGCTTCCAGGGGCTGAAACTTGCCAGGGGCCTGCAGGAAAATGCCATTGTTCCAGCCCACTTCCTTGGCAAAAGAGTAGGAAGCATCCCCAAGCTTCTTTGCAGCATCGCCGATCTCATCAGCAAAAGCCGCAGGAGCCATCATCATGCTGGCTGCTGCTGCTGCCACTGGAGCAGCATGCCGAGGCCCAGGCACAAAAGTCAAGTGCCGCTGGAGACAGCATGCAGCAGCTACCGCAACTCCGACAGCAATAGTTTTCCTTGCTCCACGCACCATGGCCACCAAAGTTCAAAAGTCTTTAAGTGGGCCGGAGTTGGTCAAAAATTAGCTAAAAATGGCTTGAGCCAAACCAATCGGCGTGATATTTCCTCTTGACAAGAAGAAATAAATCCTCTCTTCAATTTTCTCGGATGCGTTTGGAATGCTTGCATTCTGCTTAAAACTTAGCTGAGCAAAGGACGCATCTGTGGCTTGCTTGACCTCCGGGTCTGACTGAAAATTTACCACGTTAATGGAGGATCTAACCCTCCTAATAGCTATTGATTTGGAAAATATGGGAAAATATTGAACAATATATAATCCATACCGTAAGGATAGAAGATATTCCCCGAATATTTCCTGAATATATTCTATCCTTGATGATCATATTATAGGAAAATGATGGTTAACCAGTTGATTTGGGAACACCATTTTTTCAGACAACCCATTTGGATCTGAATGGCAATGGAATGAAAGTTGCCACTCCCAGCCTGCTGTCTTGTGAGCGGCAGCATCCCAGACCTAGGAACACATGAGTCATCACGTGGATGGAAAAAAAAATAACGGGTGAACAAGGTACTCATCACATTTCATTTCTTTGATTATACCCTATGACATATAGAAAACATACATCTATATATATATATATCATATATATACATATATATACATAGATAGATAGATCATATATATATACTGTAAATATAATAATATAATATAAATATAATATAATATAATATATTATAATATAATATAATATAAATATAATATAATATAAATATAATATAATATAATATAAATTAAATATAATATAATATAATATAATATAAATTAAATATAATATATTATAATATAATATAATATGAATATTATATAATATAAATATAATATAATATAAATTAAATATAATATAAATATAATATAATATAATATAAATATAATATAATATAAATATAATATAATATAATATAAATTAAATATAATATATTATAATATAATATAATATGAATATTATATAATATAAATATAATATAATATAAATTAAATATAATACAAATATAATATAATATAATATAAATATAATATAATATAAATATAATATAATATAAATAAAATATAATATAAATATAATATAACATAATATAAATATAATATAATATAAATATAATATAAATATAATATAATATAAATATAATATAATATAATATAAATACAATACTATATGATTTTAATATAATATAATATAATATAAATATAATATAATATAGTATAATATTAATATTAATATAATATAATATAATATAAATATAATATAATATAATATAATATGATATGATATGATATATTATAATATAATATAATATAAATATAATATAATATAAATATAATATAATATAAATTAAATATAATATAATATAATATAAATTAAATATAATATAATATAATATATTATAATATAAATATAATATGAATATTATATAATATAAATATAATATAATATAATATAGTCTAATATAATATAATATAAATATAATATAATATAATATAAATATAAGATAATATAATATAATATAATATAAATATAATATTATATGATTTTAATATAATATAATATAATATAAATATTAATATAAATATAATATAATATAATATTAATATTAATATAATATAATATAATTTAATATAATATAAATATAATATAATATAAATATTAATATAATATAATATAATATGATATGATATGATATTATATAATATAATATGATATGATATAATATAATATAATATAAATATAATATAATATAATATAATATAAATATAATATAATATAATATCTTATAATAATATAATATGAATATTATATAATATAAATATAATATAATATAATATAGTATAATATAATATAAAATAATATAAAATCGTATAAAATCATATAAAATCATATAATATGATATGATATGATATAATATAATATAATTTAATATAAATAATATAATATAAATAATATAAATATAATATAAATATAATATAAATATAATATAATATAATATATATATATAATATAAATATAAAATCATATAAAATCATATAAAATCATATAAAATCATATAAAATCATAAAATCATATATAATTTCTATATCCCAGCCGAGTCAGACTTTGGACCCGTACAGTGCAGGAGCCAAGTACTTTGAAGGGTCCGACACCGGTGAGAAGGCAGCTTGAAACCTTCGGCGGCTGTTTTCGGTACTGTTGGATCCCAGGGGCTTGAGTACATCTATATGAAAATGATTGAGAATATATACATATATATATACATAATATACATAATATATATATATATATATACTTACATTGTTATACGATAATATACGATGATATACATTGATGTATATGTTGATGGAGCTGCATAGCCAACTCTTGAAACAACTATTGGAACAACTATTGCAATCACATGTCGTGGTTCCACAGAGGTTGCATCTTTGACAACCGTTGTCTCAGTGCGGGGCCAGTGTCCATCCAGCGCCTGCTCACGGGCCAGGCGGTCCTCATTCTTTTCCCGGCCCTTGGCAGCGCACGTCGGTTTCAGCCCCAACACCATCGGATTGTTTTGATACCACAAGGGAGAACAAGAAGTCTGTGGTCGTTTTCAGTAAATGGAGCTGAGATCACTGAGATCTGATCCTCTTTGAGAAGCTTCTGGACATAAACTTTGTCCCTTGCCAAAGCAGCCTCATGCTCACCACAACGTGTGACTTCTCAGCAGTGCATTCGTGGCGTGGAATTCCAAGCCGTGGTGACATCAGGCATTGCTTTGATTTTGTTCCACAGCCGACCTCTTTGTATCTCTTGGTTTAAGCTGCCAGCATTGTGGTTTCGTTTCCGCTCCGTCATGGTGATGTTCCTGCACTGCCAAATTTTTGATTCTCTTCAACATCTCGGCAACATTTCCCCCAGGCAGCAATGGATTATCGAACCCTTGTCCTTCGGCAGTGCATCTCGGACCTGGAGTGATATTTGATTCCCCTGTCCAACCAGGCATGCTATGAGGGTGAATTTTTGGAATTCTATACGGAAAATAAGAAAGAGACAGAATGGGCAACACGTCAAACAACATCATCAAAAAGTGTTGTTTCTCAGAAGTGGTTCCACTCCGAAAAAGTAAAAAGCGATTTGGTGGTACGGGCTGTATACCCAAATTGCGTGAAGCCGAAACATCCTGGGTTTGCTTTGCGCATCCACTCAGCTGAGCGCTTCCCAAACTCGTAGTGTGTCTTCTCGTCGTCCATCTCATCCAACTGGCAGGTACGTTGTGCTCTGCTTACTTCCCATGATTCCCTCCATCAAAGGGACCCGTGAAGAAACTTGTTCAAATCAACCTGGAAGTGTAAGCCAGGAATTGGGTTTTGAAAATAGATGAAAATAGGATATCCAAATGAATCCCATGGTTTATCATTATATGGCCCGTAAAATATCAATATTTGCCACATATCACATATCCCTATCATACCCCTATTTTTGCTCAAAGCCGATCGGAAACATGCCAAGCCACAGATGCGACACTCTGCGTTGCCATTGAGTGGGTTCTGCTGAAGCTTCGTTCGCTCTTTTGCCTTTCAATACCACCTCGCTGTGACCAAAAACAAACTGAGGCAACTACCAACACAAAATCGATTTGAGGTTATCTGGATTATTCAGGATTAGATTCAGTATGGGATTCTATGGGTACATCATGTAGATATATGTAGATCATATAGTAACTATGTCAAGTGCAACTGCAGCCTGTCCAAGCAACGGGAGGCAGTACGGATCTCTGAAGCACCCTTCGAAGGCGCATGCCAGGCTCCAGGTGTCCTGCCCATGGCAAGCACAGCGGCCCATGGTGCAGCTTAGGAGCGGAAGCGGTGCCTGTCGTGGTTGGTCCGTGGGGAGCCTTGGCGGGCGGAAAATATCGGAAAATGATTCGCTGATTAGCAAGATCAGTGATCTATCAAGGCAGTGAAGGCAGTGAAGGCAAGAGATCTTGGGTCCGCCAAGTTGGGACGTGCTGATGAACGAATCTTGGGCTGGAACTTGCTCTGGAGAAGCTCCCTTTGGATAGGCTTGCATCGCCTTTCAGAATAACACGCAGTGCCCGGTTCCTACACACATTGTTCCAATCTTCGACTTGAACATGCGTGTCTCAAAGTTCTACGCAAAGAGAATTATTTTCTACACAATAGTTTCATTGAGTTTCAGTTGTCAGAATGATCCAAAACGGCTCAGGGTGCTCAGGCGCTGGCCAGCATCTGACTGTGACGCCAAAGACCTGTATTTTTCTGTTGTGAGGACATCATGAGGACATCATGAGGACATCATGAGTCATGAGGATTCGCTGTGTCGACTCTGAGATGTTCTGAGTGTCTGGCGGAAGCTTTTTGCCATGGACCCCTGTCCTCTGGATCTCTGATGAAATCCACCAGCGGTCACCAATCTGAACCTCCTGACACGATGACGAGCCAGCGCCATGACTCAAACGCAAACGTATTGGATGTATTGGATGTATTGGGAGTTGTCAGGTCTGCCTTCCCACATGTAAAACATATAGGCTATCAGGCACTGAGGCCCTAGATTCATGGCTTGCAGACAACTTCGAATCCATCACTACCTGGATCCCGGAGGTAGATCGTGGATGATCCTGGCCTCTCCGAAATTCTCCGAAACTCCCAACCAGATCAACCAGTGCCCACTCCTTCGGCAAGTCCTTGTCCGCAAAGTGTGCTCTCCAAACACCCAGGGATGGCAAGTTCTTCTTTGAAGAGACTGGCCTCAGCTGGCGACTCCGGCTCGGGCAACTCCACCAAGGGTAATTAGCTTCGATTCCCTGCTGAAGTCGGTGACGTGGCGACTTGGAAATAGTGGATCACCGGAATAATTCCAGCAGGGACTACAAAACCTATCCGCACCATGTCTCTTGTCAACGCCTACAAGAACTGGCAACAACTTTGCCGTCCGAGTTTCCTTCGACCATTGGCTGTTCCTACGCGACCATTGGCTGTTCCGACGCGTGAACTAACTGGGGTGGACAAAACCTGCAGTCAGGAAGGTTCTGGAGAATGCAGCTTTGCCTGAACATGAACATCTTTATCCTTCAGACTGATGTGAAAAAGGGCGAGACTAAATGTTGGCGACACAATGAAGGACTACCCAGAGTCATTCTCTGTCCATTTCGACTTGCTGTTTCTCAAAGGCTTGGATGTGAAAGGCCGGAAATTTTGGCATATGTGACCAGTATCTTCACCCTGCCTGTGTCTGCTGTGTCTGTGGTTTTGGCCCAACGGAGAAAGTGGGAACTGGCCTCAACTGCTTTGGTTTGGAGCAAGGATTGGTCTGTGGGCCTGAGAAATGACAATAGACAATAGCGATCAATAGCGTTATTAAAAAGGATCAACTACCAGGTTTTCATGCTCAGCTCAGAACTCTAAGATTGGAAGGGGGGGCTCGCTTCTGTCCTCAAGAGCTGTTCCCGCTGAGTTGGATAACACTAACGTGCTCTATTTTTTGAGAAAGGCTTGTAGTGAAGTCCCAGCAAGCTAGGTACGCGTTAATCCCCCCTACAACAGTCCTTTAGATCCGGCAAGCTCTGCACGCCATCAATACGTCCCATAGGTCCTGCCAGCACGCATCAGTGCACCCCCTGCAACTCACTGACCAAGAGACATGCATTTATTAACCTCCTGCTGGATTTCGGTCTGGTCCTCGCATTGCAACGGCCAAAAGAATCTGGAGCACAGCACACGCTCCATGGCCAAATGTCAAAATTCACAGCTTTTGCCTTGATGCTGATCCTCCTCATCTTGAGATCGGCCCAAAGGAAAATTACTTGAAATGCAAGTTGTCAATTGAGTCTAAAGAAAAATATTTGACTGCAAGAGGTGAGGGGTGAGGTAGGGCTGTTGTGGAAGAGTGAATCTCCAGCATGATGCATTGAATCATCTCATGAAATTCTCTTAGCCAAGCTACCGCAAATTCACTGGCCACAGGATGCAGAGGCAACCAATTTCGCTGGGGCTTTCTATGTGTTGGGATGCTCGCACCATAGAATGGTCCAGCTTTCGCAAACCCCTCCGAGCAACATGCTTCCATTAGAACATCACAGAACTCGTCTATGATTGTTTACTGTCTGGTAACCTAACATAGCTATGGAAAGCCACCATTTGTTTATATGCAGATAAGATAATCTACAAACGGGCCATTTTCCATAGCTCTGTTGAATTACCAGAGGGTGTCCTTTGGTGACTCTTGTCCCCTTTTCCAGACTTTGGATTTCAGAAAGCCAGCAGCAGATGCTGCACTCGTCGAGCTCAGACGTCTCTGTTCACACTGCAGCATGCTCTCAGCATGCTCTTGCATTGTTCGGAATGAGTTCGACCACAACATGACTTGTGATGTGGCCTTACAATTTCGGATCGAACTTCCCGCTCATGCTGAGCGAAGCAGTAGGTGCACCCCAACCTGACTTCCAGGTGTTTTTGCTGCAAAGTTCTCATGGATTCCCTCATTTTGTTTTTCAAAGGTCATCTGAGTCATCTGATTCTCACCATGAGCTGGGTTTGTTCGTGCTAGACTTCAGATTGCACTGGATGAGGACATGGACACGCCGTGACAAGTTCCACAACCAGTTGTACACTCTCGCCTCAGAAGACACGAGATCGCTCATCTCGCCCACCTGCAGCGGCATCATCCAGGGATCAGGGAAGTTCCAGGGAAGTTGACGCTGGAATTCGATGCTTGGTGAAGTCTTCCTTCGAAAGATGCCAAAGTTTTATTGCCGGAAAGTGAACTCATGCCCGATTGTATGATGATACAACGCACAGATACCCAGAGCCAAGGTATGACCCACGCAATTTCAAGTCCTGCAGTCGCCCGTGCCTCCAAGTCAAAGGCCGCTCGCAAAACCGGCGCTGGCACTGCTGGCCTCCCAGTGGTAAACAAGGTGGGCCAGAGAACCCAAAAGCAAGACGGCGCACAGCACGCCTTTTTAAAAAAATTGTGGTGTGGACAGCTGTGCTCTGCACGAAATCGATGTAAGATCTTTATTGAAACATCGTGTGCACTGATGGCATCAGGGGCCACAGTTCACCGCATGCTGCGTCAGCTACGTCTACATTTTTCTAGTCGCTATTTCTGGTATTGTAATTAATTCTATCCCATTTTTCTAGTCGTTATTTATTTTTGAGTTCTCGTTTAGTTTGCTTCGCCGCAGGGGGAGCGAGAACGAAGCGTAAACGGACAGAACACTGTGCGAAATGATAACTAAACGATGGAGGGAGTTGACCAAAAGAGCATGAAAACGAATAAATGAAGATGACAGATGGTGAATGATCATGAAAAATGAGACATGATGAAAAATGGGTAAAGACTTCTCTGTACAAAAGTTCCTATGCGTAAAAGCTACTGTGTGTAAATGCGTCTGTGTGTAAAAGTTTCTCTGCGTAAAGGTTTTTTTGGGTAAAAACAATTGTGTGTAAAAGTTTCTGTGTAAAATCTCCTCTGTGTGTATAAGTTTCTGTTTGTGAAAGTTTCTGTGCGTACCAGTTTCTGTGTGTATTTTTTTTGTGCAAAGGTGTTTTTTGTGTATATAAATTGTTTTGTGTGTAAGAGTTTCTCTGGGTCAAAGTTTCTGAGTGCACAAGTTTCTCTGTGTAAAACCTCCTCTGTGTAAAAGCTCCTCTGTGCAAAAGCTCCTGTGAAAAAGTTGCTCTTTGTAAAAGGTTTCTCTGCGTAAAAGCCTCTCTGTGTGTGTGTGCAAGTTTCTTTGTGTTACTTCTTCTTTGTGTAAAGACTTCTCTGTCTGTGTTAAAAAAAACTATGTGTAAAAGTTTCTGTGTAAAAATTTCGCTGTGTAAACGCGTCCGTGTGTAAAAGTTCCTCTGTGTAGAGTGTTTTTTGTGTAAAAGTTTCTGTGTGTAAAAAAATATTTGTGTGAAAACCTCTGTGTATAAAAGCTCCCCTGTGTGTACAAGCTTCGCTGTGTAAAAGTTGCTCTATGTAAAGTTCTGTGCGCCGTAAAGGTGTCTGTTTGTAAAACCTTCTGTGTGTGAACGCATCTGTGCGCACAAGATTGTAAAGGGTTTTATTCTCTGGGTGGTGGTAAAGTCCTAAATCTGTTCTGTTGTTGTATGCCCTCTTTAGTCGTGTCTCGTCGTTGATATTGCTGAACTCCTCCAAGTATTTGTTTCCCTGTTGTATCTCCTTACTGAATTTTTCCAACAATTCCTTCTGTTTGTTGTTGTGTTTCTTGTTGTATTCTTTACCGTCAATCTCTTTAAAGGGATTTATCCTCTGTAGTCGTCCCTGTGCTTCATATCCTCCATTAACTTTTTTTGAAGCATATATAATAATGTATAGATTATTAATATGTTCTAAAGTTATTATATCATAAAAAATGAGTAGATTTAAAAAGATATACATAGACAGCCACCACCGAACCCAGAACTCCAACAGTAGCAGTGATTTTGAAATTTACCTGCCCGAAAGTCAAGAATGCGGGAACGACACCAAACTATACATCCACGAAATCACCATACCTAATTCCATCTATCCAGTTCAAGCGGGGTTGAACAGCAACCTATACTTAAGACTGACGGATTTTTCTAACACTACGGATGTCATAGTTGAACTGTTGAGTGCTTCCTATGTCGGTGCTACATTGGCATCAAACCTTCAAACAAAGATGAACGAAGCAACAAATGGGTTTCAAGCCAACAACGACTATTTTAGTGTGTCTTACGACTATGACACCAACAAAATAACTATCACTTTAAACTATGTGGATTTTTCGTTCAAGATAATGACCGACTATGAGATGAAGTATAACACCATCCAATGGACGGGAACATCTTATGACAGAAACAACTTAAAATCCATCAATCAGGTTTTAGGAAACTACACCTCATCGTTGAACTATCCAGATTGGACAAGCGGGTATTTGACATTATTAGCGTTGAGAAATTTATACCTTACTTGTAGTGAATTGAGCGACGCTAAACAATTAGGTTCAACTGGTGCTTACAACATCATTAAGAAAATCCCGATTAATGCTCCCTTTGGTTCAGTCATCTATGATAATGAAATCATCAGCGTGGATTGCATCAATGTGTCAAATAGAGTGCTGAGAACCTTACACTTCAAGTTGGTTAATTCTTATGGTAATGTGGTTGATTTGAACAATGTGAATTGTTCATTCTCCCTGACCTTCATTGAGGACGATTAGAAACTTGTTTCTAATCAATTGAGCGTAGCGACATCGATTGAGGTAAAAATTTCATTGATTAACTCACTGGGTATTCTATATAATTCATCTTGACTATGGATTATAGGATTATCACCCCATTCGCTCTTTTTGCCTGATGGCATCCGTTGGGTTGTTTCCTTATGTTTGTTGTTGATGTTTCCGCAGTCTTTTTTACATAATGGTCTTGGTTTCCAACTGGTTAGGTTCGTCCATATCCTTGTTCTTTTTCTGTATGGAAAGCCGTATTTACAATAATCAATGTCAAAGTAATCAAAGTCTTTCATAAAGTCCTGATGTTTCAACAATCCAGTCTGTGGGTTTTCTATGAACCATACCGAAGGGTTGAAGTATCTGATTATTTCAATGGTCTTTTGAACGATGCTGTTGGCATAATCTATTTTTCTAACACCAGTGGTTTTGGCGATGCTATATTCAACAAAAGGGGGAGAAACCCAAATGATTTGAAAATTGTTTCTGTTGAATTGTTTGTAATCCCAATTGAGTATGTCAGTGTTGATGTTGGCATCCTTCAAGTCCAACGAGACAACATCATAACCTAACTCTTTGGCGACTTTGCCTACACTTCCCGTTCCAGAAAACAGTTCAAGTAATTTCATATTATAAATCTATAGATTTAAAATATGAAACTACGACAGCAACACATAGGAGTTGTTTGACAGGTCTTTATTGATGTTGTAGTATGTTAAAGTCTCTTCTTTGGGTTGTGTGATTTTACCCGTTGTAATCCACTCAAAGTATTGTTTCCTTTTATCTTCCCACGAACCGACGGGTCTGCCTATCTGCTTCTTTTCAAAGGCTTTGTTTATTCTTTCATCAGGGTATCATTGATATTCAGTTTTGGGTATCATTGATACTCGGTTCTGGGTATCGTTGATACTTGGATACTGGTATCTGGGCATCATTGATACTAGGCTCTGGGTATCGTTGATACTTAGATACTGGTATCTGGGTATCATTGATACTAGGGTTGGGTATCTGCGGTTATGCAGGCAATATGTGAAAATTACTCTTGCATGACTCACCCACAAAACATCTCAAGCGTCACAGTTTTTTTCACCGGCGAAGCTCACATGGATCCTGCATCCCTCAACTTCTGCTCATCCTCTTGAAAGAGCTTGGCGGCGAAATGCCAGTGCTTCAAAGCCACAGTTTCACTGGTTGTTCTCCTCAGGACGCAGTCTGCTGGCTCCTCACGAAGAAGTTTCAACTTCATTTTGGTGTCTTCGTCGCTCTCTGGGAGATACCCCATGGGTCCTGCCCCTGCCACCTGGAGGAGATAGTCCTTCACTTCCTGGTCATCCAATTTCCTTTCAATTGATTCCACCCTCTCCTTGTACCACTGCTCAACC